GCACATGTGCGCGACACGCTGCTGCCAGACAGGGCTCGGCCCGCTCGCCCCGTCGTGTCCCTGTCCCCGGGAGCCCCGGGACGGTGAGCGACCGGAGCGAGAGCACTTCTGTTCGGACCGAGCCGGGCCTGAGCCACGTGTCCGCCACTGCTGTCACGGGGCCTCTGCCGCCTGCCCGTACCGCTGGACCGTGCGGGTCAAGGCGGGTGAGGGACAGGGCTGCGCCGGTAACACGGGCCCTGCTAGAGCCGGGCGAGCGGGCAGCGAGAGCCGGGGTCCTGGTGAGGCCGAGGCGCAGCCTCCATCACAGGCGCAGGCAGTGCGCGTCGTGCGCGGGTCCCTGGGAGCCGCGGGGACAGTGCGAAGCCGTAGCAGGGGCCGGGCGGCGGAACGGCTCCGCGCCGGAGCAGCGTGACCCCGCAGGGCCCTGGTGCCGGCGCAGGTTCTGCGGCTCCCTCGGGCGGGCGGGGAGCTCGAGATCTCCATTCCCTGAAGCCGCCCGGCCGGGCTCTCCGCCGGCGGAGGGTAAGCGAAGCCCGAGCCTGTCTGCCGCGCTGCCCTCAAAAATCTATTTAGGGAAGATGAAGGCGCATGCAAATGCGTGGCGCCTCCTCGCCTGTGCCTTTAATCATAGTAAATTGGCTCCCGTTCCTCCAGGCCCCCCGAAAAGGCGCACGGCGGCACCGCATCGTGGCGGGGCTGGGACTCCCAGCGCCGCGCGGCACCCGCTGCTCCCCGGGGCTTTCCGGCTTCTCGGCGCGGCCCCGGCGCTCTGCCTGATCCGCCTCTCTCAGCAATTTTCCTACCCAAATGCTGCCGTGACGGGAACAGAGCGCAGAGATAGCATCGGGCGGCCTGTATCAAAGAGATCCTGCTTAATTAAAATACCGGCTCGGTGCTCGCCGCTTTTCACGCGGCGTGGCCTCCGACCGCGTTCTGCCGGATGCCGCCGGCTCCACCTCCCCCATCAGCCGCTCTGGCCGGCCCCGGTGACCTGCTCCGTGGGGCCGCCGGGCGAACAGGGTCCCTTCCCGGGGCTAGGGCTCAGCAGGTCGGTGGACGGGCCGGTCCCAGTAGGGCGGCTGCGGTGCACGGGGAGGCTCCGCGTGGTTCACGAAGCATTTGTTTGCGCTACTGAGCAACAGCCCGATAATTTATTGTTATTGTTATTGGTAACTACACTTCGCAGCTCGTTCACATCCATCCTTCCGAGGCGGGGAGAGACGGTTGGATCAGTTGCCTCCATGCGTGGCCGGCGGCGGCTCCTCCTGGGCCGGAACCGCTCCGCCGGGGCTACCGAGCGAGCGGGGACAGGCAGTTGGACTGCCCCGCACGACGGCGGCCGAGGGCAGGGGCCTGGCGACAGGGAGGCACCGGGCGGTGGGTGCCGCCGCCGGAGGCTCCGTCGGAGCTGCGGGCTGCAAAGCCGGTCTGGGGAGCGCCCGGTTCTGGGGAGTATGGGGAGCTCCGCGGGCAACCGGCAGCGAGTCCGCCAGAGGGGCGCCCGCCGGCCTCTGTGGCGGTGCCGAACCTCGGCAGCTGTCTGCCGTGCCAGCGGCCCCGTGCCCCGGCGCTCCCTCAGTGCTCCTGCCGTGAGCGTTTTTCCGTGCACCGATGCTTCGGCGTTCGGCTGGCGAGCGGGGAAAGTCGGGGCTCCGCAGGGCAGCGAGGTGCAGAGTCCAGCTGTGGGTGGAGAAAAACAGGACAAAGTGAGCCGGTGGTCTCCGGCTGCCCCGGGGCTCCCCCCTCGCCCCGCCGCCGAGGTGCTGCAGAGTCGGGGCCGGTCCGCCCCGCCCAGGGTCGGGAAGCGCCGCCGTCTCCGCGCTGGGCAGCACCCGGGCCGGTCGGCCCCTCTCCCCTTGCCCGGCTCTCCACCGGCCCCGCCGCTCGCCCCGGCTGACCCCGCGCCCGCCGAGCCCCGGCCGTGCCGCCGCGCGCCGGCAGGGGGCAGGCTGCGCCCGAGCCCCGCGCACCGGCACCGGCCCCGCCGAGCGGGGTCACCGGGCCGGGCCGGGCCGGGCCGGGCAGCGCCGTCACCGCCCCGCCGGGGGCACCCCCGCACGCGCGGGTCCGGCCGCGCACCTCGCGGGGCAGCCCCGCCGCACGGCCGGACCGCACGGCGCGCACCGGACCGCGGGAGCGGGCGGCGCGCGTTGGTACCGGGAAAAATCCGCGTGCAGGCATCCGAGAATGCGCTTGGGCAGAAACGGGGAGTGGGGCAGCCAGAGTGCACAGACACGTACCCGCCGGGCCCGCACGCTTACGCGGAAAACGCCCGGCGCCACCCTGCCCTCGTGCCAAGACGCCCGCGGCCCCCCCGGGTCACGCTCCGTTCTGTCCCGCACACCGCCGGGGTCCCGCTGCGCTCCCCGCAGCGCCGGCTACCCGCGTGCGTGTGCACCGGGGCGGGACCGACGGGCGAGGAGCGGGGACCGGGAGGCTCGTCCCGGAGGCCGGCGGAGATTTGTTGCAGCGCGTTCGGCGCGGCGGCTCCTCCGCGGGTTCGGCCACTGTTCGTTAAACCGGTGCTTCTTCCTCCTGCCTCGTCTGGGAAGGGCAGGATTGAGACCGGCCGCGTTCCTTGTTCGACTCTCAAAATTAACCCAAAACAAGGAGATGTGCCTTGCAAATAAACGGAGAATTCGAAGGAAGCCGCGGGGAGGTGGGGCTGCGTTAGTCTGGTTTGGGTTTATTTCTGTGATGGTTTTGCGCGTGGGTGTTTTAATTGCATTTTGTTTTTCTTTAAAAGCATCATATAAACCGATATAACACCTCATCGAATTGTTCTCAGGGCAGGAGCGGGGATAACATTTACTCGGCACAGTGTTCGTACATACAAGCAGCAAGAAGCAATTTGGTGTGATATTTGCGAGTAAAAACCCAGGAACAAAGCCGGAATTACTGCTGCGGCTGCGGGGCTAGGGACTCCCGCTCCGCTTCCAAGTCCCGCCACTTAGAGCTGCCTTTTGACTGGGTTTTGGGTTTTCTTCTTTTCGTTCTTCTTTTTATAACGAGAATTTACGAAAACTCCTGCGGAAACGGGGGCTCTAATTTTCCTCGCAACTGTGGAAGATAATTTGACGGAAGCCCTCTGTGATGGTGAACTTTGAATCCTTAAGAGAAAATAGGAAGGGAACATAAAACATTAATGTGAACGAGTAGCTTTTTCGCCGCTGATTGAACTTTGAAATTTTAGCAGCCTTTATCTTGATCTCAGAATTAAATAATCATATATTATTTTTTCAGCATTAGCGACAAAGATTTTCAGATTTGTACTCTCCGGAACAAAAACAAAATAAGCCCTATTACTGAAAACCCTTTCCAAAATATTTAACTGAAACGTACTCACGAATTTCTTTCAGAGATTTTTGCGCACGAAAACGGCATAAAAAGAGGCTTTATCTTAAGACCCAAAAAAGAGAAGCATTAAGTAATTCAAGTTAACACTTGCCCTGCTTATTAAGTATCAATATTTTGGGAGCATTACAAAATAAACTCCTTCCTTTGGCAAGGTCATGGCATATCACAGGGCACATTAAGAATCTCCTCACGGAATCCTTTCTGGATTTTAATTTCTTCAGATTTAGATTTTTAATGGTATCGGATAGAAAAAAAACCCAAAACAAACAAACAAAAAACCAAACCAAACCAAAACAAAAATCCAAAACACAACTCCCTCAAAAAAAACAAAATCGAAAGGGAGGCGGTGGCGCGGGGTCCGGTGCTCCGTGCGAACGGGCAGGCTGGTGGGGATCGCTTTTCCCGTCGGTTTTGTTTCCTCAGAGGGAATCCCGGCACGGTGAGTTCGGACAGGGCTGTCCCGCACACACACGGGGTGTGTGAACACTCGCGCTGCGCTCCGCACCGAGTCCCTGCGCGTTCAAACGCGTTAGCGGCCAACCCGAGCGGGCAGCGCTGCCGCAGGAGCGGGCGCGGGGTCGCGGCCGAGGGAGCATCCGCATCCCTCAGGCCGCTGCTCTGCTCGAGCTCTCCCGCCCGCAGCCCCGCCGCGACGTTTCGGAGCCGCCTTTCAGAGGTGCAACCCCCCGCGCCCCGCTCCGCGTCCCCGCCGGGGCCGGTCGCGCCGCCGCCGTCCGCGGGACAGACCCGCGTCCCCGCCGGGGCCGGGCGCCCCGAGGGAGGGTCCCGCCGCCACCTGCCCGTGGCCCGGCGCTGGACGCGCGCTGCTACCTACCCCGGACAGGGCAGGAGCCAGGAGCAGCCGTCGGGTCGGGAGCGGCGCGGGGCGCGGACGGGGGAGCGGAGCAGCCGTGGCCCCGCTCCGCCGCCACCCTCGACCGAGATCGTTCTCCCCCTCCCCGGCCCGCGGGGGCGCGCCCCGGGCCCGCACTGCCCGCGTCTCTCGGCCGCCCCGCGCCCCGGGCGCCGCCGCGCGTCGGGGGCCGCGGGGGCCCGGCGGGGCCAGGGCACTATTTGACGTCGAGGAGACGGATCACCGCGGCGCAGCGATACGGCGCGCACCAATGGAGTTCAAATGTCAGCAAGTTTGAGGAGGGGTGAGGCGCCGGGGGGTGTGTTCCTCCGCGGCGGCCCCTGCTCTAAACGGCGCGGCTCCTCGGGCCGCCGCACGGCTCAGGGGCTGGGAGCGCCGGGAGCCCCGCGCCCCGCCCGGCCCACCGCGCCCGCGCTCCGCCCGGCCCGGCCCGCCCCGGGAGGGCCCTCCGCGCCGCGCAGGGCGTGGGTCCGGCGCTGCCGGCGAGCAGGTGACACCGCGGCTGCCCGGCGCCGTGTGCGCGGCATGTGCGCGCCCGTGTAGCGGGGCGGCCCCATGGGCGGCGGCGCCGGCTCCTGCCTCTGCCCCCCGTCTCTGGAAGCCTGGGCAGGAAACGCTCCTCATGTCTCCCAGATAAAAATAAAAGCGACTCCCTCCTCCCGGCCGCAGAGTGTCCCCGCGCCCGGCCCGACGCGGGGCTGAGCCGGCCCCGCCGCCCGGCAGCGCCTCGCCCCGCCGCCCAGAGCGCCGGGCCGCGCCGCCGCCCATGGACATCGCGACGGGTCCCGAGTCCTTGGAGAGGTGTTTCCCGCGGGGCCCGCCGGACTGCGCCAAGATGCTGGACGGTATTAAAATGGAAGACCACCCCCTGCGTTCGGGGCCGGCCACGCTGGGAGTGCTGCTGGGTGAGTTGCCGGTCGCTTCTCGGCTACGCCGAAAGCGGCCCCCGCGCTCCGCTCGGTACCCGGGGCTGCGGTCCGAGGGGCCTGGGCTGATGCGGGCTGTAGCCGCTCAGCCCCGGACTGGCGCCGGGCGCGGGACTGTCTCGCCGCGTGTGCGGGACGCGGTGCCGGCGGCAGCCGTCGAGCTCGGTCTCGCCGCGCGGCTGGGCCGGGCGGGCTGGGCTGCCCGGGACCGGGGCTGGGGACCGGGGCCGGGCTGTGTCGGGGCCGTGTCGGGGCCAGAGCCGGCGCCTGACGCCGCCGTCTGCCGTTGCAGGGTCGGAGTGCCAGCACCAGGCCGTCTGCGAGGGCTGCCAGCGGCCCATCTCGGACCGGTTCCTGATGCGGGTGAACGAGTCCTCCTGGCACGAGGAGTGCCTACAGTGCGCCGCTTGCCAGCAGGCGCTCACCACCAGCTGCTACTTCCGGGACCGCAAGCTCTACTGCAAGCAGGACTACCAACAGTAAGGGCGCGGGGGGTGACGGGGGTCCCGCCGGGGCAGCCCTGCCCGACCCGGGGTGCGCTGCGGGCTGCGAACGTGTTCCCGATCGGGCCGAGCCCGGCGGAGCGGAGCAGCCCCGCGCCGGGGCCCACGACTGCGGGGTGGCGGCTCCGGCGAGCGGGGACCCCGGCGCAGGCGGCGTGGCGGGCACGGACGGGACCGGAGACACCAAGCCGCGGCGTCCGACCCGGGAAGGGCGCTGCCCCCGGGCCCGCCGCGGTCTGGGACCCTGCGGCGCCGTCGGAGGGGACGGCGGTGGGGCGGCCCGGCCCGGGCTGCGCAGGCAGCGCCGCGCCCGGAGCCGCCCCGCGGATCCCTCCTGCCCGAGGCGAGCCCCGTCCCGCCGCCGCCCCAGCACCGCCCGGCCCGCGGAGCGCCCGCTGGCACTGCCCGGCGGCGGGGCTGGGGGCTCGGCGGGGCCGTCGGTGCGCTGCCGCGGGCCGGCCCGGCGGAGCGGCCGTCGGGCGCGGAGGGAGCGCGGCGTGGCCCGGCCGAGAGACCGGAGCAGCAGCGGGAAGAGCCCGGAGCTGAGCTCGGCGCTGGCCCCGGCGCTGCCCGCTCTCTCTGTTATTCCGGCTTTATCCCCAAATGTCAGGCGCTGTCGGGAGCGGCCCCCGCCGCGCCGCGGCCCCGCGCGGGGACAGAGCCCGGCCCCGCGCCGGGCCGCCCTCCCCAGCAGAAGCCCACTTCATGCTTGTCACCGAAATTGAGGATCCTTTTTGTGCCGGGAGGGGGGCGAACATGGGCACTTCAATCACTAGGACATAATATGGCTCTGCTAGAAGTCTGGCAACAAACAAAGAACAACAACTATTGGTTTGCATCAACTTTTGTCAGGCATTCAGCAGGCTTCCAGAAAGGCCTGAAGTGGCTTAGTGGCAACAATGTGCATTTCATAGCTACAGCATGAAAATCCATCTCCATGGAAACGGGTAGTAAATGCTAACATGACATGCTGAGTATAAATATTGTGAGGGTTATAACTCTTGTATAAATGGCCCAGATAAATGTCCCCCTGTTTAGGAATTACAACAAAACACGTTATTTCGTGCCGCAGCCCTCACCAACTCCCAGAGATTCCTCCATGGCCGAAGCGCTGCACATGGAATAACCCAGAGCTTGCCCGTGGGCCGCTGCCATCTCACCCTCGCAGGGCAGGGAGCGCATCCATGGGATTCACCTTTTACTGCTACACAAAATAAACCAGCCTGTGGTAGCTGTAGTTGTAGATCAGTGAAACTTCTGCCTCTGTGGGTAGTAACGCCTTAGATATTTTTGTTGATTAGGGAAGAATTTAGAACAGTCTTCAGGCTACCTAAGAAAGTGTTATTTGGCAATGTAAATATTTACATTATTTGCGAAGAAATGTCCCCTCCCAAGTCCCATCATTAGTTTCTGTAAAATAAAGGGTCGTACTTAGCAACCTAAAAAGCAAGATCAGAGACTATTGCTTTGTAAAAACAAAAATACTTTCCTGACTGAAAATAGAAATGTTACTGCTTCAGAACTTCCCGTATTATCAAAGGTGTCCAATTGTAGAGGGGGGGAAACGGAGCAACCAGGCTGCTGAACAATAAAAAGATATCAACATGTTGGCCTTTGTTGAATCCCAGCACCTAGTGTGACATGACATGGTGCCCTGCTGTGTGTGCCCCCGAGGACTGACAGCGGCAGCGGCTCACGGGAAGGGAAGGGGAGGGGAGACACGGTAAATCAGAATTTGTTTTCTCTGGGATTTTATTAGCCCAAAAGAGCAAACATGTGAAACTATGCTGACACAGATTGTGCACCCTTTCAAACTTGGAGAAATATTCGTTTATGGTAGCTCGACGATAAAAATAGCTGTCCATCCGTGCGAGTGGCTCTGGGCTGTGCGGTGCAGAGGGTCAGTTTTGTCCGTCAGACTGGGGGGGTGAAGCCATGAGCGAGCTGTGCAAGGCAGCTCCAGCGAGGGGGCACAGCCACAGTCCTGTGCTGGAACACCGGGATGGGAAATGCCTCTGTGCTCAGTGATCATGCCTTGGGGTAGTGAGATGGAATAGGATCGGTACGGAGGAAGACAGGGATCAGTAATATCAGATACTTTTTGTTATCCTGAGTCTTATTTACAGATCTCTGGGGGGAAAAAAAAAAAAGAAAAAAAAAAGAAAAAAGAAGAGGGAGAATAAAGTTTACTTAAATATCTCAGTTCCTGAAATTTGCTTTAAATAGATTTTTCTGTACGTAATAATGCAATTTTAAAGGTCAGATTTCTCCAGAACTCCCAGGACTATAATCAAGCATTGTGTGTATATCTTTGGGAAACTGGTGTCTCATCTTTCTAATGAAAGCAAGCTTCTGATGGGTCAGATATCAGACCTTACACCTTTCCCTGGGTCAGGAATGATTGCTGCCCATCCTTGGATGAGGGCATTTCACATTAGGGGGAAGGGTGAAAACAGTTTTTCTTTTTTCCTTTTTTTTTTTTTTTAAATTAAAATGTTGGCTGTGTGAAGCTACTCTGGAATGTTAGAACAAATCCTGGGGGAGGTGGATTAGTGGCCCAAGCCCAGTTTGAAGTATTCAGAGGTACCTGATAAATGTAATTTATCACAAAAATATCGTTAGTATGTCAGTGGGACCAGTGGGACAAGTTGGGCACGTATTTTGGTCTCTTTTTAAAGAAGGAATTCAATACATTTAAGTACTTATTTTGCTAAAATTTAGAATTTTGAGGATCAGGTGCATTTGATGACAAGGTTTTTAAGGGAAAAAGTCCAGAGCAGTACAATGGCACCAGGGAGGCTGGATCTCACAAGCTCAAGTCAATCAGAATCTCTTTGATTTTAGTTAGAGCTTTACCAAATTGCTGCACATTTGGAACCTTACACTTAATGCTGGTGTGGTTTTTTTAAAGAATTTTTTTTTTCAGGTAAACTGAAACCTTCAGAATGCTTGTTTTTCAAAAATAGAAGGCTTGCAGTAGTTGTATTTTGCCACTTTGCTTAAATTAATTTATGTATTGTACCATTCATAACAGTGCTTCCTTCTAAAAAACATTAGTATTTATAAATACTACAATTTTTCCCATTTGTATATTTCCATTTTTTTGTGATTGTGCTTTTCTGGTTTGTTTTTCTTTCAACTGCTCAGTCTTACATAACAATTTGTCCTAGTTATCGCTGATAGTGAAAAAGGATACGTTATGAAAAATAACTGTTTCTGGTTACATATTTCATATGTAAGCAGTGCACATAATTTATAGAAATATCTGTATTCCTATTCTAGCTTTGGAAATAGAGGCTGTAAAAGAGGTTTTTATTGAAGGGACCGAATAGCAAATGCTCAGAGTAGCTATTTCATAAGTTTTCATTAATGCATTCTAAGTTTTGCTTAGGGTAGAAAAGATAACATTCAGGTTTTTCTTTTAAATGTTGTCAAGCATTGTTTTAGCATCATGTTTGGATGCTATTACAAAAGATCCGCCATGTATTTCTGGTATGTTTTTGTACTGTTCTTCTTTCTTTCTTTCTTGTCGGTGGCTGGGCTTGTTTTTGCTGTGCAGTCAGCACAGAGCAGCACGTCCCCCGCAGGAAGGAAAGAAAACCCCACGAAGCCTCGGTGCTGTGGGGAAATCTTCCCCTCTTCGGATTTTGGGAATGCTTTCACACGAGCATAACTCTGAGGCTGATGTTTCCCAGTCGAGTTGTGTTTTATATTCAAAATACAACAAAAGCTTCCCGTCAGTGAGTGTCTCTTGGTTTCGTGGCTGTTATTTTTCTCGCAGAGCGCGGGCTGTGGAATGTGGCAGGAGCCCGGTGCAGGAGGGACCGGAGCTCTCAGATTCGGCTGCATTCTGCTACCCGGATTCAATTGCAATCTGCTAACGACAGGATTTGATTTGTTTTCAGTTTTCCTGTTTTATTTTTAACCGAGGAGCACCCGCCGTGCTGTTCTGCTCACGGGTGCAGTTGTGCAGCACCGTGAGCTCGGCAGAATAATGTGGAGCGGGGGTCCCTCCAGCTGCCCTCGCCTTGTGCCGGACGGGCACTGGTCCCTGTGCGTGGGTCACTGGGAGACAGCACAGAAACCGGGTGAAACGTAGAGACAGGAGTAGCCCTGGACATGGAGTAATGATTAAAGTTATATCTTCCACTAAAAATGCTTTTAAAAGTCGCTGAAATACTCTGGCATTTTTGCTGAAAATGCCACCAGTCCTGCACCATCAGTCACATCAGCCCCATCAAAAATCCTCTGTACGATCAGGCTTTCGTGGCACCTCGAAATAGTCCCCAAAGCGGGAGTGCTGAGGAAATGTGGCTGTTATTTCAGCCGGTGACGTCAGCAGAGTGGCCGTGCTGGGGCTGAGCCCCCGCGGGTCCCCCGTGTCGGCGGCTCCGTCCCCGCGGGTGGGGATGGCACGGGCCCCCCCCCGGCACCTCGGCAGCGCCGGGCACCGGCCACCCGCCGGGTCGGGCTGGGCTGCCTGAGTGCTGGCAGGGATCTGGGACGGGGGTGTTTTGAGAATTTGGGGAGACATTTTGGTTTTCTGCTGCAATCGTGGTAACGCTGAACAAAATAATTGCAATGAAAAGATGCAATTTGCACTGATCCGTGGCAGAAAACCAAAGGGAGGATTTTTGTGCAATGTAGGCAATATGCAATTAAATTAACAGGAGTGTAGTTTATAATGCTTTACTACTAACCTGAGAAAAAATAACCTATAGATATGAAATATTCTGCGAAAATTTCTTCACTGAGTATTATAATAAACAGGAATATTTTGCGTTCTGTTTAGAAGTCAGGTCTGTTGTTTTTTGGCCTAAACTTTTGAAGTTCAAAGGCATACGTCACCTTTCCAACTGTCAATAATATATCATGATAAACCAGCTGGATTATAATGTCTCTTCTTAGATTAATTATGTTAGTAGTGTATTTCAGTGGTAAATATACACTCCTCTCACTTCTCTCTGTTGTGGAGC